TATAATAAAATCAATGTTGGAATGAAAACTGATCCCTGGAGAACACCTGCGTTGATATTATTTTTAAAAACTGGTAAGGAAAATAAAATTCATTAGACCTATCGAGGGGTAAGGTAACCACTTCTTCCTTCCCAGATGACGAGAAGAACTTTTATAATGATGCAGCCGCGAAGGCAGAAACCTAAATACCGGGGCACCTCGACTGCTATAAGGAGCTTACTAGCTACATTGAACAGCATGGAGTATGGACAAAGCAGTGCGGGCCACAACATCCGAAACGTGTGTGCAGTAGATACTCGAGGCTGAGGCTATGCCTTATACAGAGTGAGGTTAGGTCACAAGCTATTACATCCGGGATATTAGAGCTTTCGGCACGGACATTTCTTATGTATCCAGGAATTGTTTTTTTTGTATATTGCGCTCCTGATTCATTTATTAACATCTTGTCCATGCACTCAAATCTTGAGAGAACTAGGGTTTTCCTAATCTCTGAAATAAGGCCTTCATCAAATCTGTGTATGAAATTAACGTTTATGCAACCAGTCGTTCACATCATTCTATAGGCTTTCCTTTGAAACGCATATTTCATTGATGCTTTTCATGTTTCTCATTAAGTAAAGCATGGCCATTTGAAGCAGCATATTCTCATATATTACATTTTCTATTGAAAAGACAAGATTCGAGAAGATAGGGCACTTCCACAAAAATGTAGGCTGAAATCAATACTTGCCACCCTGCGGACGATAGCTGAAGTTCCATTAACTTATGAGGTATCTATGAAGTTCCAGCTATGAACTACCAAAGTTACAATGAACCGTAGCAGATGTCGCGGAGCATTTTAAAAGATAGAGTAAAGTAGATTAACTCGGTACTTCCCAGGCAGAAGTGAAAATTTGTTTCTTTAATTATATTCACAAATGAAACCACTAGATTTTGTCTTCCTTTTTCTAAGCCCAAAATGACTACGAATTTGAGAAACATGATCACCAGCTCTGCACAGAAAAATGAGTTTTGACAAAATTCAAAATACACCTGCTATAAAGCTTCAAGACAGAGAAAGTAGAGGCTCGAATTATACACAAAAACAAGTCTTGGAATACTTCAAAAACTGTCAAACTTGGAAAAAGGTTACGCACAAGATAGTAAAATAATAAATGTTAGGTTTACACGTATATGCGCTGTGCCAGAGGCCCTCTTGAGCGATTTGGGTTTCGAAATGGTACGTGATCTTTTTGTAGTAGTTAGTAGACTTACTACATTGCATTGCGGACTTAACTCGGTTAAGTACATAGTAGTGGAGGAGAATCCCTAAAATCGGTTATTGAATTAGAAGAATATAAAAAAGTGACTAAATGTATGTGTGACATTTACTATTATATTATTCTTTACTTTACACGTTTATAAATTCTACATGAAAATCATTATTAAAAAGCATAAATTCCAAAAAACTTACGTACCCATGATTTGAAGAATAGGTGGCGAAACCCGAACCAACGTACGGTACTTTTTTGTTAATTGCCTTTTTCTTTTTCCTTATTCTGGAAGCTATCAATGGTCCGGACGATCTGCTACTGCTTAAATGACTGTTGGTTTTGGTTATTTCATAAATAAATAACAAATGAATTGCCGCTTTCAAACTATTTCATAAGAATGATGGATGGGTGAGTGTCCGGCTTGCACGACGAAAACTAAAAACTTCTTTACCCAATGAGTTTTGTACCAAACATGTAAATGAACCATGTCATGAGAGACGAAAGACAAACAGAGGTTCTTGTCATTTGAGCAAATGCTTATACAGGGTGTTCATTTCAAGACTTCCCACCACGGATTTATAGAAAACCACTGATTAAAAGAAAAAGCGCCGAGTCGCGTCAAAAAATTTGTCAAGAGGGACAACCTTTTGACCTAAACATTCTTGACCTGCTTCCACCCTCGAACATCTCCCCCCCACCCCCCATTCCATTAAATATTTTAAATGACAAGAGGTATCTAGTATTAGCCTGTTTGAAATGTCTTTCAAAGTCCTTTATTTTGAGGTTTGATTTTTTTAAATCAATCGATTCGTCTTCAAGAAAATTAGAAAAGTCTCTATTTATCTTAATTTGTTCAGGTAGAAAACAAAAACACGAAAATATCACTTTTTATTTCAACAAGTGTTTAAAATTTTGCCCGTTAGGGTTTGTCGAATCTATAATTCTTTTATGATTTAAAACGGAAAATACCAACATAAACAGCAAATCGGAAGATTAGACGTGACTACAACCAAATAACAACCCAAAATTTTTTTCCGCATTCTTTTGATCAACACAGATATCCTGGCGGAACTGTATATTTATTGCTGCACCTGTTTAGTTATTTGTGGCTAAGGAAAAGAAAGAATTTAATTTGCTGTCAGTTACCTTTGTGACAATCTTGGGATAGTGAAAATTAATTTTGGACCTTGCTACTAAATTTATTCGAACTGGATCTATTTCAGATAAAAAACGTGATCATCAGAGAGTTTTGGATGAAGCCGCTCAAGTTGAAGTTTGGGTCAAATTTTTGTTGCGACTGGTATTTATTAGGCTCTGTACACACAGCTACTAAACTACATAAATTTCATCCATTCAAAATGAAAATATTGCAAGAGTTAACCGAAGATGACTTAGATAGGCATTTTATCCAAATGGATTTATTAATAAGCATAGCTGCAGGTATTGGAGCAATGAAAATCCCTATGCGTTTGTAGAAGGGTATACCCAGTACCCCCAAAAACATTATTGGATGGGCAGGCATTTTAGCAAACGAAGTGATTGGGCCATTGCTTATTAATGGAAATTTGAATGGAGACATTTATTCGGATATGTTGGAAAATATCACCAAACCGCTTATCACTAAAGCCATTGAAAGTCAAATCGAAGAGGGTTGAAACCCTATACTTTATGAGGCTGAAATATATTTCCAGCAGGATGGCGCTCCTCCTCAACATGTTCTTCCGGTTTGGCAATGGCTAGACGACAAGTTTCCAGATAAATGGATGGAGGGCCTACATAATGGCCTGTTAGATCTCCTGGTTGGACGCTATTAGACCTTTTTCTATGGAGCCATTTAACATCTATTGCGTTTACTCGCCAACCTTAAAGTTTGGATGAACTTCGTCAACGCATCATCGAAAGCTGCCATGATATCCCCAACATGTTTTTGAAAATGTCCGTTAGGAATTTGAACATCACCTATATCATTGTTTGACCAATAACGGGCGATATTTTGAACACTTATGGAAACAAAGCGTGATATTTTCGTGTCTTTTTGTTTTCTATTTGAAGGTAAATTAAGATAACTAGAGATTTTTCTAATTTTCTAACGAATCGACCGATTTAAAAAATTCAAACGTGAAAATAAAGGACTTCGAAATACTTCTTAAACAAGCTATTACTCGATACCCATTGTCTTCAAAATTCTTAAGGGTTTACCCCGGAGGGGCAGAGGATGAAAGGGGGAGAAGTAGTTTTTGGTTAAACAGTTGTCCCCCTAGAGAAATCTTTTGACTAGTCTGGGCGTTTTTTCTTTTAATCAGTGGTCTTCGACAAGTCCATCGTGGAAAGTTTTCAAATGAACACCATGTATATAGTTCTTTTCGCGATTTTTGGCTTCTACGTAATAAGTAAACATATTGATTCACTGCACCATGTGCGAAGCTTTGCCTAAGTACTGCACGCTGCAAAAGCCTTCATCAACGGAGCTTTTACTAGCCCTTGCACACACATGAATTGGTTGATAGGGGGTAATTGTTTTTTATTGAAATTCTAAAAATTCTCCTGTAAATTTAATACAGACTATCGACGTTGGAGGCGCGTCTTGGGGAATTGCTATATCTTAGATCGAGGAAGTGTAAGCTATAGTAGCAGTGCCATGACAAGAAGTTGTCATACTTACAGTAACAAGCACTCTGACACATGGAGAGTCATACGTTGGTGCAACGAATTCACACTAGGTAGAAGGATCCAATGAAGGATTTGTTTGTCTCGTTATTCTCAAAGTCTGTAGTGAGGATCAAAGTGAACTTGAAATGAATAAACTTCTGACAGTTCTGTCATTAAATTTGTAGTCTTAGTGTTATTTTTGGAAAGAGCAGCACAAGCCTCCGGTAGACGAATGTTTCAAAAGTATGCACTTAAATAAGTCAATTTTGGCGACTAGCATTGCATTGTAAACATGTAGCCTTGGGTCGTTCTAATCTATTCCAATTCGTTTCGAGAGAAAATTTCCGAAATGGTGAGACAAAACTATGGGATATATATCCGTGAGCCTAAACAAGCAAGCATTTCCGCATAGATGCCCATAGTGCGAGGGAGATGAATGTATGAAAGTAATTTCTGTAGTTGTTCTGTGACTCGCCGAAAATCTTGAAAGCGCATATATACCTACATATGCAAAGGGCTTCCTTGCGCGGACAGAAGGTATTTTCTGTAAGTTCACAGGCATACGGTTTTGTCTCACTACCGTGGTCCACATTTATGTTTGTCCTTTTCGGTATGAGAACTTGCTTAGCAGCTTGCCTGAGACTTGAGCGAACCTTTGTTGATCTTCGATACAACAACATAGCAATGCTTGCACATACAACTACGATGTCGATAGTCTGTGTTGAATTTATTGGAGTGTTTTTGGAAAGTGAATGGAAAGAACGGTCCTCAATCATCCAGTTCATGCGTGTGTGCAAGAGCGAGTAGCAGCTACATCATGGATTGGCTGCGCAGTGTGCTGTCTCCCTTAGTAAATTTTAAGCTTTTCAGATGGTACAGTTAGTTAATCTGTGACGTAACCATCAAGAAAAGTGAAAAGAACTATGGGTGTAAATGCCTACCTATGTCTAGTGATAATAATAGAAGTTGTGATACTTGCAAAAACTATTTTTAAAAAAATATATTCTCGTAGACAAATAAGTAATGTGACGCAATGTGCTTGTGCGCTATTTACACTTGGCAATAATGGTGTTTTAGAGACACAAAAGACGAACAGCAGATACAGTATCCTTATTTATTAATAAAATTTACAACGTATAAATATATACAGAACCTTACAAAAATATAGTAAAATAAATTAATAATATAATGCTGGTAACGATCATGTTTCTATTGAAAATCATCCACCATGATGACTAAAGTATTTACAGGCAACATACATAGACTTAATTCTAGAAATGTATTATATATCTCAACAAATGGCTACCACTATTGGCAAAGGATGAAATAAATATACAGGATGTTTCAAATTCGATACTCACCATTACAGTCTCGGAAGCTGTAAGTGATAAGTCGCGTAAATGGGAGCAAAGTTGTGTATTTAGATAATGGAAGAAATGACGCTTGGAATGTTTCGAAATTGAAATAGCTTTCAGAGGGAGATGGAAAAAAACGAATTTTCCCAAAATCGTCTTAATTTTTTCCTGACTTTATTTGTAGTGGGATGCCACAAAGCCAGTTACACATTAACATTGCCAATTTTTCTCCTCTACCAGATGGTATAATTAGAATTTCAATATGACGTCTGGTCTCCTCTCAACTTTATTTTTTCTTATAGACGTCACATTAGATTTTTACACAGATGAATTCTAATTTCAAATATGTATAATACGTCATACATTGACGTTTCCAATCCTTAGGTATTTCAAAAAAGCAGAGTGACCTAGTTAGGCCTTGAAATTATCAATTAGTCATTTGTCTAGCCTACCAGATTTATTCCAAAATTACTTTTATTTCTTCCTGACCTTATTTGAGATGGGATTCCAAAAAAATTGCATGTTGATATTGCTACTTTTTCTCCTCCACAAGATGATATAATTAGAATTTTAATATGACGTTTCGTCTCTTGTCCTCCAGCATTAACTTTATTTTTTGTTATGAACGCCATTGTTGGATTTTTGCGCAGATAAATAGAGTTTCTAATTCTGATTTCATGTATTGACATTGACGTATTGACGAAGTTCAATTATTCCAGGAAAACTGGTTTCTAGGTAAGCCCTGAAATTGTGAGATTTCATTTGTTTCATGTAGTAGACCAGACCTCAAAATAAAAAAAGCATCAGAGTTTGGAAGACTAAGAAGAAGAGAAATAAATTAATCTGTGATCAATGTAAAGAGAAGAGTCAGGCTTTGCGTACAAGATAACGGACAATATTTTAAACATCTGCCATCATTTACCTCTGATTATTTATGACTAAAGATGACATGCGATTTCTTTTCATATCCCGTCTCAAACAGTCACGGAAAAATGAAAGTGACTTTGGGATTAATCTTGTAGGTCAAACAAATGACTATCTGATAATTTCAGGGCCTACCTAGGAAGTTCTGCTTTTTCGAAATAACTAAGGTTTGGCAACGTGAATGTATGACGTATTCTACATTTTTGTAATTAGAATTAAAAACTATGTTCATCCGTGCAATATCCTATATGGCGTCTTTAAGAAAAAATAAAGTTGAAGCTGAAGGTTAAGAGACGAAACGACATATTGAAATTCTAGTCAAGTCATCTTGCAAAGGAGAAAGAATGACAATGTCAATGTGCAATTTATTTTGAAATCCCACCACAAATAAAGGCAGGAAAAAATTTAAACGATTTTGGGAACATTCGAGTTTTTCCGACTCTCTCCAAAAATACTCTGAATTTCTGAGCTTTCTAAGCGGCATTTTGTTGACTACCTAAATACGCAACTCTGACCCGTTTTAAGCGAATTCGTATCTCTTACAGTTTCCGGGATCCCAATGGTGAGGGTCGAATTTTTCAATGTATAATGTCAATGAGAATAATTTTGCACAAGCCAGCTATTCAATATGTCCGCTAAATATATCGTTTCTACAGAAAACCGGTAGAGACCATTAGTGTCATCTATTATTTCATTTCTAATTAATGCTTTAAGGAACATGAACTACTTTTTGGTACAAATAGCTCATATTACCATTGTGTACTGACGTATATGATTTGACTTACATTACGATTTTTGCTTATTTGTATTGTTTAGCTGACCACGTAATTCAAACATAAATAACCAAAGATAGGCAAACATGCTGGTAATGACTCAAGTTATCTCAATATATCCGAACACAAAAGAATCCATCGATAATCTCCATTAGAAAGTGCATTTTCGCACTTACTATGTTTAGGTACTAATAATACTTTCAGTGAAACCGTATCTCTGCTTATTAATACTTGGCTCATTTCTTCTTATAATAAAACTCCTGTGTAACAGTGTAGTCTGGATGGCCCAGTGGAAGTCCTCCCTGGACAGTAGCTTGGATGCCGCTCTGAATGCCACCTTGTATGCCACTCTGAATGCCACCTTGGATGCCCACGTTAGCTCCACTGAGGTCTCTCCACTTTGTTAGATCTACACTTGGTAGAGCCTCGCACTGCACCACTGCATTACTGTGATAAACACGAAAAATTACAAATTTCGAAAATCTCGGTGTTCCTTAGATTTATAGCACAACTATTTTGAGAAACCAACAAAAACGTGCTGAAAGTACATTTTCATTACTACTACTTTACTTTGCAACATGTTGCGTCATGTACCGACACATGATAGAATGAAAACGTATATTTAGAAAGTCTGATCTTCCGACCATTCCCATTACCATCCTACTAGTTCTCTCAATAAAATCCCTTTCAAACTAGCAGAAAATCTTTCACTGGGTAAATCGGCGTATAGGTGTGGGATACTAAGCGATTTAAAAAGTTTCTGGACTCGGGTTAGTATCAGAAAAGATATTGCCGTTCTGGACTTCTGGATACTCCTTATGCGCAATTTCAAGCTGGATATTTTACATCCTACAGCGGCTTGAAGCGTGTTGGCTAAGAGAATCAAAAAAGTACATACTCACTAAGTACTTGCATATATAGGAACCGCGATGAGACTTGCACTTAATATAATTTCTGTATTTAAACGTGGTCGTACAGAGCTAGCACGAGGCAGGCAGTGGACGCACGAATATTGATACCTGTGATGATCTGTGAATTCCTTTTTTTGTGCCGCGTAGGCAGAGGCCTAAGTACCGAGTCGCTGCAGCCGTTATGAGGAGCTTAAAGAAACCTTGTTTATCCGATTTCAAATATTGCATATTTGAAATGTTTAAGGTTAGTCGAGCCGGGAGAGGACGCTTTTGAGAGCAAAAATGCCCTTATAACAATTGAAGAGCGGGGGGATGCGTCTAGGGGGGCGAACGACTCTGGTCTAGCAAAATAATCTTCACAACAATATTCTCGAAAAGAAATTGGCAGGTTTGGGAGTCTAGGGAGGGTAAGCGCGGTCTTGGTTGGGGTCAAACTTTCCAACAACATCTATTATGACATTAATTGCGACACTAAATTACAGAGTAGGTCGAACCCGGTTGTTCTGCTTTGAAGCAAGCACAATTGGCGTAATTACATGATGAGATTAATGCATCCTTTTTTGTGATGGAAAAGGGACATTGTTGTTAAGTTTCATGATGATAATTTAAACTACAATAGCAGAGTATTATTGTAACCTTCTCTAAGAGTCAGGCATACAGAAGACAAAAATCATCTAGCAATAGCAAAAATCACTCAATAATTACGTTTCCAGTTACTTAGAACCCACCCTACTTATCAAGTTTATCACCTTTTGACCTCTATCTTCGTGCTCTAAGAAGTCTAAGTATATAAATCATTCCTGTTATAGACGGGTATGCTGAAGTGCTTCCAGAAAATCATTGAAGGTATAAATTAAATAGAAAATCACTGGAAAAATGTACTAAACTCAGGAAGATTATGTGGAAGTGCCAACGCATTATCAACTAATCTTTTTTCATATATAGTCCAGAAACTTCCCAAATCGTGTCAACCCGCCAACAAACATAAAGTTGACACCTCCGTTACAGTAGAAGAGATCCTGCGTACCTGATGCACTTTTCAATCAAAATTTAATAATCATGTGGCAGCTAACAACAATGACCTTGTTGGGATTGTAGCTAGCTCAATTTTAAGTAGGTACAAAATTTCAATTTCTGTTATTAATTTCATTTTAAATCATTTTAGATACCTTGTACATCTACGTTACCTACCTTGGAGAGATTCTTTCAAATCCTCTTGGCTGCATAGCTCTGACACTGTTGCCATTATCACAGAGTAGTCTTGATATGCTTGTCTTTCTAATCTCATTCAATTGTTCTAAAGTGAATCCAGTTGTACCGCTATTTTCAAAGAAAAATCTGTCACCAACTCTTGACCTAAAATTGAAAATAAAAATAATCCAATCCTCATAGCTACAAAATCAATTTGGGTGAATGTCTACAAAAATAGAAAATGATGTGATAAGTAAAGTCGTTTGGTCTTGACCTCTAAAGAGGTTAGATTTAGTTATCTTTATAAGTGACGTTATCTGTTTAGGACTATTTTAGCTCTTACCCTTATATAAATTATTAGTTAAATAATGAAAACTAAGTTGATCGCAACTTAACATATAAAGACACATACATCGGAAAAAATAAAAATAAAAACCTCATTTAACATTGAGTTGAAATTAAAACAAAATCAGAGGCGCCCAAGGAAATAGAAGTCCATCAGAACGCCAGAGAACATTCAGATTCTGCGCCGTGCTGCGAATGACAATCCCTGGCGCTCAATCCGAAGACAACCTCAGGCCTTGCATATTGATCGCTCATGTGTTCAACGGATTTTAATCAAAAACTTACAGTTTCATCCATACAAAATTCAATTGGTACAGTTTTTAAAACCTACGGACCGCAAAATCGGAAAAAAATATTGTGAGATAATGATGAATGTGTTTTGGGATGAAGGAAGCTTGGACCACATACTATTCAGCCATAACGCTCACTCCCAACTGGAGGTCTACGTAAACAAACAGAACTGTCTGTACTGGTCTGACAACAACCCAAAAGAAAAGCATCAAAAGCAACTGCAGTCCACGAAGATTACAGTTTGGTGTGCCATGTCGGCTACTGGAATAATTGGGCCCCACTTTTTTGAAGATGCGCGAGGCCGCGCTGGAACTGTGACAAGTCAACGGTACACTGCAATGCTTCAGCAATTTTGGACTCCGGCTCTTCAAAACTTTCCTTGCTATGACCCAAACGGGACCTGCTTTCAACAGGATGGGGCGACAGCACATAGAGCAGCAACATCAATGCACATTATACGTGAATTGTTTACAGGAACTGTTATTTCGAAGTTTTAGGCCCGTATCGTCAGTCGTCCCTACAATTGTAGGGCGCGTTGATGGCCTCCTTGATTGTCATACTCCTTTCTCTCCTTCAAAAATTTCTAGATTGCACCCGTCCCGTGTCAGCGTCAGCACTCTCCTATTGTGAAGATATCTTTTTTTTTTTAAATTGTAGGAAATTTCAGGCTGATAAAACATGATATAACTCAAGAGCAAGCACAATTTGATGCAAATAGATGTTTGTGACATAACCTCAAAATAGAGCGCTGACACGGAGAAGTAGAAAACTATGACAATCAAGGAGGCCATAAAGGCGCCCTACAATTGTAGGGACGACTGACGATACGGGCCTAAGACACCACTTTCTCGCCAAGATCGCCATATCTTACGCCCTGCGATTTTTTTTGTACGGAGCAGTTAATTATAACATTTCACAGGCAAACAACATTCCTATTGAAATGTGTCAGCGGACATTCCAACATTTAAAAGCACCATTGGAGGAGTGGTATGAGCAGGATGGACGACATTTGGACAACATTGTGTTTAAGAAATGAAGACCGCATCCCTGTATTTTAAACGTTTATGATTAAAATTTTCGCAACACTTTTAATTTTTACACCATGTTAAAAAGGGAAAATTACTTTGAGTCACCCTGTATTTTCAAATTCAACAAACTGGAACTCATACAAGTAAATAATACAATAATAAATAATCTATTTGATATAGTTTTGTGGTAACAGACATAGGATATTTCTAAGAATGAATACCTGTAGAACTGTTCTGTGAGTATGCAAAGGAATGTTGGGCCGGCCAGGGTACCAGGGACTAACTGCTCCAGAGATCCACCAACAGTTAGGTCTACGTCTTCCGGAGACTCGTAAAGTCTAGCCAGCTGTTCTACATTCTGAAATAAACAGGAAAAAATAATCAGCCACTAAGGAGAAGTCTGTATTGCTAGAAACAATATTTTCTATCTCAAATATGTTCAGCTAGTTCATTTATTAAGACTCCTCCTTGAGACTCGAGCTTTACAGGAATGCAGTTTCTATGATCAAATAAATGTACAAACCTTACTGCTCATGACATCTAGGAAGTCATTAAAGCTGTTGGCCCTAGGTAAACCACAAAACTGTCGAACTTCATTGTACGATGCTAGTCCATGATCTCTGTTCCTCTGAACATCAAATGCTTTTAAGTCCTGCCCAAATTGTTGGCCGGCTCTGAAGAGAAATTGTGTAATCTGAAAAAATAGCAATTATTTTAACCTTGATGATAAATTAAGCAGAAATATCAAATGCTGTTTAGCTTTTCTTAGCTTACAGCATCTGTTGATCGATGCACGAATGACACACTTTAGTAGATAAAAGAAGAAGCAGAAATAATATAACTCACTTCGCTGGTGTGGAACTGATCTGAGGCATCCTGTGGTTGTGTGTTCAATCCTCTGCTGAGGTCATCGAAATTGTTCCTTTCCTCAATTATTTGAGGCCTGTTGAACCAGTCGCTAAGCCTCAAAGTGCCGTAGCTATTTCTCTCTTCAGTAACCAAGCTGAAAAAGTATTCACATTTAGTTATATCCACAGCAAAATAATATGTATAAAATGTTCCTGCCACACATCAAATTACAAAACAGCTACCTGCTAAGAGCCGTAACGTAATATTCCTAAATTCCTTTCAAAAGTAATTCACAAACCTGAGTACATTTTGTACATCTAAAGAATAAGGCTTTCTAAAAACAGAAATATTACGTTGCAGCTACACCGCCCCTGACAATCTAATTGAGCTAGTTGTTATACATGAAGTCCTTTATGTGAGGCTTCAACTTATAACTGAGTTGCCAAACGAATTCTGGAACACTCTGTATATATGGGGCGCACCAAACTCGTTCGCTCCATAAAGGAAACTCTTGACGGTGGTATTTTGAGATGCGTCGCTGTATACTTTGTATATATATGTTTCTGGATATTTACATCAGATTCGCGTAATCCATTATCCTTACTGTGGATTTTTGAGTTCAATAGTTGCATCCAAATTGTTTGAGACCTCCTAGACTACGCATAACAGGTCACACTTGCGGAAGCTACTAGCTTTTTCAACCAGAGCATGAAAATTATTGAAAGTTTGAGATTTGATGGTTTTTCGAAGCCGGACGCCTTTTCCACTAAACGAGATTTGAAAAACAGTTAAAGGTATGTTTTAAATGCATACAACATTCACCTTGTTATGTTAAGCATCATTTATGGATGAAAATTGTTGATCATAAAACTGATTTTCATAAACCATACATTCCCCTGATTTGAAAAACAGGTGCCAAAACCCCGAAAGTACAGATCGTCAATCGTAAATTAATATTTCATTATTTAGCAAGGAAATATGTTATTTCAAACACAGTCCTTAAATCATTATCGTTTTTGCACTTGAAAATGGATGTCGAAAAAATATTGGATAGTAATTTTTTGCAAATATTGGGTATTGGGTATTGCCCGTCTAAAACCTTGTTTAAGCAGTAAAATTTTAATCATACACCTAACCAGTTTCTCGAGAAAGACGAACCTAGGATCCTGCCATTTAAGAAGATACAGGGTGTTTCCTAACTGCACTGCGAAATTTCAGAAGGTCACTCAATATGACATTTCGAGAAAAAAAGGGCATGTGTCCGAAGTTGCCTGCTTTAATAAATAAACGGGATCTATAAAATACCATAAATATTCTTAAGCCGATTTGGTTCAAATTTGGTACATTTATTCAAAGTAGTAATGTGCTTATTTGTGTCTGACTAGACGAACATTCCTCTAATAATGATTAACAACGAAGGGGATCAGCCACTTACTCCAAATTTCCCTGAATTAGCGAATGGAAGAACCTAAAGGCAGCAGTCGCGTGCTCATTGAGAATTGAAGGGTCAACGGTGTCATCATAATCATTGACAAAGTCCGATGTCTGGTAGATGATCCTGTTCTTCAAGGAGTTCCCGAAACCGATGTATATAGGCAACCACTCGTAGTAGGTTATGTACTGGTGCTGGGCGATGTTAATCTTCCTGGCTTCTTGGAAGAGGGTCTCATCATCCCAGTGAGAGTTGATTTGAGCCAGCGCGTTGGCTAATCTGTTGTGCTCACGAAGTAGGACAACTTGTAGGAGAGTCAGTTGTGGATTCTGGTTCACTCTAGTGTCACCTGAAATCAAAATGTCGGATTTCATCACAAATTGAAACTAGTCGGACTATAGAAAATCCTGGGCGGAACTGACTTTTTAGCGTTGAATTCAGCCGATTTTTCCAATATTATTAATGGGCAAAATGAGCTAAATACTTTTATTAACCAAAGCATCTTAGTCATAAGGGCTTAACTGTCCTAGAACTCAAAATTTCAAGCGTTATCAACTTAATTTAATAAAAATTTCATGGAATAAGGAATTGAACAACATCGATTTTGTAATTCTAAAATTCCAGGACCGGATTCCGTTTTTTATTTCTTTGCGTTGTACACCCTGCAACTCATAATCTCACTTTATCATTTAACAGAAAAAAGGAATGGTAAATGATAAATGAGGCAAAAATATTGTTAGCACACTATTTACATTTTTGGGTAATTCTGTTAATGATTTGGTTCTACCAACTGATGTTGTGCAATATGAATCTTCCACAAAAGGTGAACGGTATTATGAGAATTAACTGAATTTTATCCTCTAAACCACCCTCGCCACCTATGGAATGGAGAAAATGCCGGAAAACCTAACATGGACTCAACTCTGTTATGTTACGTTTAACAAAGTTCAACACCAGATTTAGTTACATAAGGCAGACATCGGTACACCACATAACAAAACGTCGATTCCGGTTCTGAGTACTACGATTTCGTTGATTTTCATCTTAATTTTGATTTCATACAGATCCCGTGTACAACATGATAGAATTAAATAATAAAATAAACTTCTATGTTATCGTGGGCGTAAGAATTAGAAGCAAATGGAGTGCATTACAATACAAACCTTCTATTTATGCTACTGGTTCTATTTTCTGCGAAATAAATTTAGAGTATATGTTACAGAGTGAGCTTAATAAGATACATCGAAATACAAGAAACGTATCCGGTCCTAGAGTTTCGAGTTTTTGTTCAATTCTAAGCACTTTGTATAATTTTCCTCGAATCAAGTTTCTAACGTTTGAAATTTCGGGTTTTGTATCAAACAAAGTTTGAGAAATAATATATTGGAATAAATAAAAGATGCTAACAAAAACATCAAAATCGGCACAATCTATCTATTTTACTTATTAGTTATTCATTGGCTTTTTCATGCAAAGTCAAAATATTTCAATTTCGTAGGGATCTATTTCGATAAAATACAAAAAACTTAATGAACTGCAGATATGTCCCGACCAATTTTTGGGTTACTCCTATTTGTTATTGTACAAGATTTCAAAATCGGTTCAATAGTGCCTATATGTGATATTAAAGATGTGGAGTGGTTAGACAAATTGCCCTCTATATCCATAAAAACGTATTCAGATTTTATTTATTTATATGAAAAAAACTCGTTCCATATTCAGTGTAACCGCTCCCTTGATACCTTGTATATTTTTAAGATTTAGTTTCTAGAAGTTAAAATTGTAGTCATATTTAAATTGGAAATTTTTACTGAACAAGATTTTTGAACCTTGCCCTCAAATTCAGTAGAATGAGCATGACGATGACTAGTTTTTGGAGGAGATAACAATATACAGAATCAGTTTACTAAATAACTACTCGTACTTGAGAGTAAGGGCGACTGTTATATGTTTTTCGGATGAGCGCATCCACAACAGAAAGTTTGTTTAGTGAACAAGTTGTGAGAAAGGAAACATGGTCGCCGGCGGAATTCGGAGCCACATTTCCTACATTCCGTAGAATAGACCTAACCAATTAGTCTACAGCACCAGTTGCCAACCAAAAATTGCAGGATCGACTGTTAGAGGCAAATCCAAACCTACCCACGCAACCGTTCCTTTGTTCTTTCAAGCTGCTGCAGAATCAGTGATCTTATGTCAATAGTGGGCTACATAGGCGATGCACACTAGTATCCGAATGCTGCAACATGTTGCACTAGGTAGGATCCCAGAACTGATATGGTATAGTCCACAAATCCCTGATATAAGTTTTAGTTTAGAAAGTATTTCCTAAAGCTTACCCGCCATATAGCAGGCTTCATTGATATCTTGTATGGCACAGACTCCTGAAGAATTCATGTTTCTAGGTGGCCAAGTTTGTCCGTTTCTTACGTCAACTGTCATTAAACCACCCTGGAACTGACGTAGTGATTGGGCTGTCTGATCGTTGTTACCATAAACGATTGATAGATCCAGAAAAGCATTCACTGCTGTGAGCTGTAAGAAATAAAATTCAGCCTGATATAATATGTATATGTTCTATATATTATCCTGAAAATTAGGAAACGATGAAAAAATGTTTGCAAGTGGATTGGGTTATCAATTCATGTAAATTCATATTGGTATAGGCCATAATCTTCTAAGACCAAGTACAAAGTCTTGCAAGTCGAAAATGGTTAAAATGAGGTTTTAAAGTTCCTAAGATCCTAACCAGTCCTGCACCTTAGGAAGACAAAGACTACGAAATAGATATTTATGATTTCTGAGAGTATAGTTTCTTTGAAATCTATTTGACTATACACCAGAAAGGACTTGCACCTCCAAAAATAGACTAAAACCGAATTTTGGATTAAATTCTGCAATTAACATTGGTTATTAAAAGATATAATATTTTTTGAGTCATTGATAGACAATCATCTGCACATATACAATTTGAAAGCAACATGGTTATAGTTTTTCAACAAGACTTTGCCTGTTCGAACATTTAATTTAATATTTTGTTTTCATTTTGATTAGGATTATTTACTTCGATTCTTAGTGTTACGCAGGTGACAACCATTTCGAAGGAGGACGATACCTCCCAATGAGCGCTAGATGGGTACTGACCAAAATCGCTCGGCGATTATCATGGAGGTAGAAACCTTGCCTTGGAATGCACGAGATGCGGTGTTGCCAAGCGATCCTATTCAAATTTGATACAATTCACAATTCAAAAATGTGTACGTTCAAAATAAAACCATTATTTGGGCGTAGAGAATAAACTAACCAATATTTTCAGTTGCATATGGCCGCGTCAGCCGCGATGATGAGTTTCTCTATCCAGCCGACTTCAATATCTTTCTAACATATGTGTCTATAAACACGGTGTATGTATATTTTTGGATACCTTATCGTTTCTTGAATCAGTAACAAAATGAGGTACCTATTTTTGATATGCCTAATGTAAAAGAACCATTGGGACACTATTTTACTTTTAAACCGCGGTCTAATTTTTTTTCTATGAAGCGAATTCTAGCAGCGAGAAGGCATTTTGAAAGTAATGAACCTAATAATATGATAGATTTCTGTCAAAATATATTTCAAAATATAGAAAAATGATGCTATGCTGCATGCCTTACTTGGAAATAAGACTCTCAGAATAGCGTAGCATTGAGGTTCACGTGTTCAATAAATTTTAAGTCATCACCCATTATAATACCTAGGTTCCTCGAATTATCCATATATAGTTTTTTGTAGCGAAATCACGTGAATTATAAAGTGTTTCTAGATTTAATATGGTCATTATGGGGCCATCTTACACAAATCGCATAATTTACAAGAATTCCATTATATTCATCAGATTCATTAGATACTCCAAAAACGTCTTCTAATTGATCGAATTCGTACCCTAGGCGTAAATTTTGTAAGCCGTATAGTAAAATCCGACCTAAGTGATATACTGACCTGTTCCGCCGGTTGGTTCTGCGCAACGCAATTTCGGTCTCGATCTGTGATGGTTCTGACGAAGTTCTGACACCTTTGGTTGGTCTGTTGAGCAATTGGGTCGCTTTCTGGCAAGACGATTGGAAAGCAATGCTCAGGAATGTTTGCTAACTCAAGTAGTTGGCCAGAAGCTGAGCAGCACATTGTGGAATGTGGTTCTGGAACAAGGTACATGGTTAGATACAGGACCGGCTTCAGAGTTTTGTGTACCCTGACATAAAGCATAAAGTATGCGCCCTGATGTTAATTGAGAATTTTGCACCCCTCATGAGGCTGAGTCCTGGCGCAACTGCTTCACTTGCTTATCGCCTGTAGCCGGCCCTGGTCAGATATCAGATCTCCTAATAGTGACGCAATAAATAGTAGTCTGATCCAAAACCAACACTTTTCTTTAATAGTTGTCTAATAACATTTAGGTTGAGTCCTCAGCTGGGTTTTTAGAGATTCAACAAATATAAATACATTTTACAATTGAATTAAACAAGGGTTCGTTAATGACGTGCGGATATTCCAGAGTATAATTTTTTATATAATTTTACGGGGAAAAGTTTATATGAAAATATGTCGACAAATTTTTACTGCAAGGTGAAGAAGAAGAAAAATCGTCTTTGTTTTTCAAATCTACCCTGAATATATTATTAATTTTAGCGCATTCCAAGAGGCTATAAAATGACATATTTTAGTATAAAAAGCTATCCGTGACCAACGGCGTCCCTGCAAATATGTTAGCTCCAGGCTAACTAGATATTGGTGGCGTATCAATATTTTTGTGGAAAATGTCACAAGACATGTTTGCAGCGACGCCGGTGGTGCCACAATAGTATAAGTTTGAACTCGAAAATATGTCATTTTATATCCTCTTATAACATGTCCAACAAAAAACTAATATATACTCTCTATATATAATAAAAACATTTTTTCTTGAAAATTCAATACCTTGTAGCCAACAATTTTTGCGCTTGCGTACATATGTTCATATAAACTTCATAGAATTATTTGAGAAATCATATCCTGGAGCATTAGTGCACCCCTTACCCTTGAGGGTAATTGAAAATGGCCATCATTATATTAAACGTCCCTTTTTCGCAATCAAGCAAAATACGAACGAGGTGCTAGAAAATTCAGCGCTCTAAGCCATTTATTTATTGTTCCCTCAGCAACCCATGAAGGTTTTATGGCTATTTGTATTGAGCTGTGGTCACATATGTTCAATAGGTATAGGTTCTTCTGCGGTTTGCATCACTTGGAATTTCATTCCGTATGTCGTAATAAACTAAACTGCCCAGCTAGGAAAATAGTTGAAAAGTTCATATAATTGTAGATCTGTGAATACTTCACTTTCAAGGTTTCGATTTTTCTAAGATTGCTAGTTTCTGAAAATATAAGAAATCAGCGATCCAAATTACCAAGACAATTATTAGTCGTTTCAATGAAGCGTCATCTATTTCATTCAAACTTCTAATGTTTAAATCTATCGAATCGATACAAAATTGGTAACATGCCTTGATTTCCGGTAAGGTAAATGCGAGCAAATTCAATTTATGCTTTTACATACATCATAGTCCAATACCTTCTTGATCTGGTCTACTACCAGAGGGACATACAAATCGTAATGAATATATCCATTACGATCATACAAAAGGGTGTTAGTCACGTTCCTTCAAACTTCATTTTGAAGTCTTTGGTTTTCCTCAACTGATCGACAATCAGTTTTAGGAGAACCCTTGTGTTTTTCTTTATTTGAAACAAACCGCTTCAACCACTCAGGGTTATTAGCGGTGTACGGATCTATATATGGGTGTACAAAACATATAGTGAGGATCTACAGTAGATCATACAGTTAAACATTCTTCACGAACCACAATACGGTGCCGTAACCTGAGCGCAAACACTTTGATATGTTGAGGTTCACATTACAGTGTAGCCTTTGGATTTAGTACATTGGACACTGATCAAGCACATGTTCCACCGATAAAGGAGTGTTGCAGGTTGAGCAGGTCGGCGGCGTTCTTCTCTCGAAAATATGGCTGTGGGTGAGTAGGGTATGTCCGATGCGAAGTCTGGCCAGGACGAATTGATCTCTTCTGTTTTCTTTCACATCGAGTTTAATGAGGAGCTTGCTTGGTGTAGAGATCCATTCTGTTTGCCACTGATTTTGTATGAATTCTCTGATGAGCGCTTTAAGGTCGTGGTATGGGGTGTTGTGCACTACGGGCGCGTTGTTGGAGATTGCACGAGTAGGAGCTAGATCAGCATTTTCGTTTCCTGGAATTCTAGTGTGTGAAGGTACCCACATGAATTTTATTGTTTTGCCAAAGGCGTTTAGTTGGTTTATTCATTCCTTCATTTTTTATGATTATAGGGTCTTTGGGGTACATCTGTTGTAGGCTTGACAATGCACTCATGTAACCCGTCACGATTAGTATGTGGTTCTTCTCCAGTGATGTGACCATTCTCAGTGCTTCGTTAATACCCACAGATTCGGCAGTGAAGACACTGCAATGGGAGGAAAGTTTTACGGAAGCTTATTGATCCACTGTGACAGCTACTGCGGCAACTCCGTTTATTGACTTCGATGCATCCGTGAAGATAAGAGTGTATTGGCTGTATTTGGAAATGACATCGTTGTATTTTCCTTGGATGAACGAATGGTAGGTATCTGCTTTTGAGTATAAGCTGAGAGATGTGTTGGTTTCTGGGATCAGTATCAGCCATGGAGGAGTATATGAGGTGCTACTATCTATTGATTTTCGGAGGTAGTCCGTATTGAAGCCTGTGTCCCTTACTCTATTGGAAAGCGTGAAGTGTTTGCTGTGAACTGATTGTGGAGAGTTATCTTGGACTATGAACTGGGATATTGGATGGTTCTAGGAGCAAGTTATTTTGACAGCATAGCACGTCATATATGATCTACGAATCTGCAGGGGCAATTTCAGTGGGAGCATGTAGACTTCCGGTTGGACTGGTACGTAGGGCTCCCGTTGCAATTCTAGAAGCTGTATTCTGGATGGACTGCAGCTTATTTAATAAAGATTTGCTTGCTGTTTGATAGCTGATGCAGCCGTAGTCGATTTTACTTCTTATCTTTGCATTGAAACTCGTAGTAGACACTCAGTATCACTACCCCAGTTCCTGTTTGAGAGGATCTTGATCAGATTCAGTGATTTTTTACACGTTGCTATTAAGTAATTAATATGCAAATCCCATTTGAGGGCGCCATCAAAGATCATCCCAAGAAATTTTATATGTTCAGCCTGCAGCAGTGGTGTATTATTGAGAGTTAGCCTTATATGGTCTGAGCTTGGTTTTTGTTCAGAAAATATCAGGTATTTAGTTTTTTCAATTTCGGGTAGCGGATTTTGTAAAAGTTTATGTCCTGTTGTGAGACTACTTGTTATGCACGTATATAACCAAATCATCTGCATAGAGCATGTATCTAACTGGCAACTTGAAGATCTTCGTCATGTTATTTATCGCTATGAGGAATAGAGTCGTGCTGAGAAATGATCTTTGGGGAACTCCATCATCAGTAGTCTTTCCGGAAATGTGATGCCGTTAGCTTTTACTGTTATAGTCCTGTGGTAGAGAAAATTGGCTATGAAGGCTAAAATATTTCCCCCTATTCCCATATCTGTCATCGGGTCTAGGATGGGACGTGTCCACGTTTTGTCGAAGGCTTTATGTATGTCAAAATATATGTGTATCAGTTTTTGGTTATTGTTGAAACCTCTGTAACTGTCGTTTGCAATAGTGCTATATTGTCCATTGTAGACCTATTGCCTCGAAGGCCGTTTTCAAACCCGTCGAATAGTTGGAATTTCTCTAAGTACCATGTAAGTCTTTTATTCAGTATTTTTTCCAGAAGTTTACACATGGCCCGCGTTATAGATATCGGTCTATAGGACCCGGAGCTTCAGGCGGTTTGTTCGGTTTGACGAAAGGAATGACTATCGCTTTTGTCCAGGAATATGGAAACTGTCTGGTGTAGAATTTGAGATTCAATATGTCTTGTTTTTTATACTTCAACTACCACGAAGGCCTAACATCCAGCCAAGAGAAAAATGTCTCCTGGGACGGGACTCGAACCCGCACAGCGCACGGCGACTGATCAGGAGACCGAAGAGTCTACTACTGCGGCCACCGCTGCTGCCTGTCTGTTAAAATAGCCCGTGCTTTTCTCTGGAGGTACTTTACCAATAAATTGGGTATATCGTCTGGATCTGGGGAAGTATTCCTTGATGTTTTTAGTGTTTCTTCAACCTCTTCATTAGTAATTTTCTGGTTCAGTGGTCCATCATCCTAAGGAAGTTGGAAATGTTCGCCTTCTATTTGTTCCTTATGTTGTATGAAAGTATCGCTATAGTTTCCGGTGCTGGATATTTGATGGTACACATTGGCAAATATTTCTGCAATTTCTGTTTTATCGGAGGTGGTTTTATTGTGGTACTCGATACTATGGAATTGACGATAGGAGTGATAACCATTTATTCTTTTGATTTTACTCCAAATTTCAGATGCTGGTGTTGATGAGTTGATTGTACATACATATTTTCGCCAGGACTCTTTTTTTGATAAGATATCTAGTGTTGAGTCGAAGATGTTTAGAGGTGGCAAGATTTTGTGGAGTATAGCGTTTCTTCAAAACACTAAAGGCGTGTTTGCTCTCTCTCAAGGCTGAACTGATTTGTGAGCTTCACCAAGGTACAGGGTGTCGAGTACTGAATCCTGAAGTTTTTCAAACAGCGAATGCGGCAGCTTCATTCATTACATAACAAAATTTGTTGACGGTTGGTACCAATGTCCTCCATTTCAAAGTGCGATATGTTTAGTTTAATAGTTTCCTCGTATTTTTTCCAGTCAGCCTTGTCTAATTTCGTTTTCTGCGGCGGTTCATGTGTTGTAGTATTATCTTTGTGATGTGAAATAACGATGGGGTAGTGGTCGCTGTCATAATGGTCCTGAAGGGTGTTCCATGTTAATCAAAGGGCCAGGCTGGGATCACAGAACGAGAGATCGATGCATGAGAATTTGCCATTGTAGGCCTTACGTCCATCGTTGAGCAAAATTAAGTTGTTATTGTCCTAAATATTTTCCAATTCTGAGCCATATTTATCAGAAAAGTCTGAACTCCAGCTCCTACTGATTCTCCTCATAGGTAACACTTGGACTATTTATTCATTTTTTACTATATTCCACTGCTCCACTTGATTCAAAACGTTCTCGTAGTGTGGAAAATGTTTCCGGCCTTGGTTGTCGCATATTAGGGTACCGTTGCTTATAAATGCGAGATGCTAGGAAACTATTTCTTTGGACTTCGCAAAACGATATTCACCATTTCTTCTTCAGCATAACTCATTTTCAAACACGTTTTTATTATAATGCTCGCAAAGCTAATTTTGACAGTTTGTGACTAGTCAACAATTTATTTGCTTAGATGCGATATTTTAGGGAATTAAGCCGTTCCATAAAAGACGTGCTAATAACCGAGAAAATAGCCGTTAGAACCCTTATGTGTCTAGTATCAAGAGAAAGCTTATAATCTTTATTTGGCAAAAACCCATTGGCGTACCATTTTTTCTTTAAGAAATATCGAAGTCAATACCCGTACGCACGCCACTGTTAAAGCTAAAAATTATTTTTTTATTGAAAAATATGCAACATCATTAACTGCCATTACGTACTGAATATTAGTGAAATATCTGTTGCGGTTCTGAAAATATTATTTAATTTCCTAAAAGTTTTTGTAAGGAAACATTTTTGGACCATAGTTTATCTCATACAGGGTGTCCCAATTTTGACCTACATATCAAAGTTGTGATTTTTCGAATGGAATGCCTCAAATTTTATTACATATTTGGCTTAACCAATTCGAAGGAAGAAAATTGATATAACATACTATGGGGTTTTGGTAATTAGCTACTGAGATATAAGGTGTTTTGTATAGAAAAACCCCCCATTTCGGCAACCCCTCAGTCCGCCATTTTGGAATTTTGAGTGCTGAATTTTGTATCAAAAAAACACTTATACACCTCATCATTTATCTTATTTGATACTTGTTCGAATTTTAATTTTGGCTCATACAGGGTGGTCAAAAACACGAGTTGTACTTTTTCTCAAAAATTTCAAATGCATCACCCACGGAGGACTAACGCCTAAACACCCGGGGATACCGTAGGGCTTTAGGTGGATACAGGGGAAAGAGGGGACACGACACGGACCCTAGCGAGGAAACACGTGCGCTTACAAAATGCACATAATCTGGTCTCTGCCGGGTCATCAGGGACCGTCTACCACCCACGGAATTAATAATACACCTATACAAAAAGAGTTTTAACTAACTTTGGGTCATTGGTTTAACAAGAGTACTCAGCGTATGTACTTACGTGCTTGAGTGCTTCCCGCAATCATACTCATATCATGAGTAACGATTTGTCCGTACTGCATGGCATTGAGAGTGAAGATTGGGTCTTCAAGGTTGATGTCTGGGTACATAATCAAACTGACAGTTCTTGATAATGGTAACGGGTTACCGCTTCTTGCTCTCGTTGGAAGGCTGATTCCTGTAACGATAAAACATACCGTTAGTAGTTTATTCAAAATACTAGAAATACGTACTTTGACATGTTGTGTTCTAAGAAAGCTATTTACGAAATTTTTATTTGGGTATTTAAGGTTAAAGAAGAAGACTCATTGCCCGTGGTGTGAAGCTAGCAGAGCCGCGGGCTCAAACACCACGAGCCAAAAATTCAGAGCAGTTAATAAGGGAAATTAGAAGTAAATAAATCGACCGCGCTATGGAATAATTGGCAGTTGAGCCGTATCCTTGCGAACAAACATTTCTGCTAAACTATATGAGCTCATCACCGCCAAACACTAATTACAGACTTGTATACATATAAACGACGTTATAGGTTGAGCTTCCGGACTACTTGAACTTGAAACTTAAGGTGTGCCAGGTTCCTAACCCAATAAGTTTTTGTAACACAGTATGAAATTAACTCGTTATTACATAACCAGCCGGTTATCAAAAATATCGGCAACATACAACATACGAACCGATATTATGATAAAAGAGCTAAGGATCTAGGGACCACTCTGACAACCAACGCTGACCAGAGCCGCTTTCAAGTGCTCTGGATTGAGACAGTTGAGAGTTGTATGCATCCGAAGTATAACGTTCTCAAACTGATCTAGCAAACATGCATGGGAACGCAACGATAAAAACCTAACCTGATTGTTGATGTTTTGCTTTGAAGTTGACAGTTTTGTGATTGCACTGCCAAACTAACAATGAAAAAAAACATTTTGCCTCTTTTGTGAGAAGCATTGTCAGACTATTCAATCGATGCCTGATGATGATTATATAATGATTTCGCAATACGTCAAAGGTCTTATTATTAAGCTTCTATGTGAATGTGTCGAATTCATACTTTAGCGTAGACATACAAAATTATTTTTATTTTTTATTACAGATGACGCCTGCTACAAGCCGCTATGAATGTGCCAAATATACCTGTATATTGTGACTTTGGGTCAGACATTATCAGTTCTTTACCGTCCTCCATTGTCACTATTTCAGGACATATAACACCCAATAAAAAGCTAGTGCATGAGGGGACAGAGGGTTTAGAAAATGAGTAGATCAGGTTTATGACACTCTTGAACAGTGAAACTGTATTGCTAAGTGTTGGGTTCAAACGAGGCACTGGAAATCAACTCTGACCTAATCATACAACATCCTAGCATGATTTTCAAACTCAAATTGGTTTATATGTTGATATATATTTAGAAGGCAGTTCAAAATTGTGGTACTACCAGCTTTAGTAATGATACAAAAATAAATATGCCATCAATCTATGAAACCAAAAAAAAAAAGAAAGGATACACAGCGGTTCGGTGGCAATGATTGTTGAAGTTTATATTTGATATAACATTGTTTGCCCAGGTAATTTAGAAAAAATATTATCATATCTCTTTCACTATTAATTTTTAGGTATCTGAATTGCTTCCAACTTTCGATTGGAGGATAGATGCGGATGTGTGGATTCTCATACGAGATATAGTGTGTTTTTGTTGCTGCGTTTCGTTAAACACTGTACATAAGTAAAGTCAAGAGAAGATTGATTTCTACGCGTGTACTAACTTCCTTGAGGAACGGACTGAGTTTCTGTACGCCTGACGGTAACATCATGTCGGATACCACCGTGAATGACGACTTACTTACAAGTACAACGAACGGGTAGCATGACTGTCTTTGTCGGGCTTAACATTTAAATAGGTTCCTGAAGGAGATTTTATGCAAGTGATATTCTTGAATATAGTGTTTTGAGCACTACTGAGAGATGATTAATACCTCAAAAATAAATTTAAAGAGGTTTAAGCATTATGAAGGGAGATCCTTCTGCGTCTTAATAAGGTGTTAGTTATAAATATTTGCTGCCAAGCTTATTGTATGTCATACTGAACCCTTAGAGTTGGCTTTGCAAGTTCAAACATTACGATATGAAACGACTTTGGTTTTTTAGATAAGTACGTCAGCAGGGCTCCTAGCCAAGCCTTAACACATGCGCTTGTAGGTTATGGAGCTTTAAAGAGATATGTACCCCAGCTTCGTCCCGAAAGCTGCTGGAATTTACGAAATGTGTCCATATCAGCTCATGTGTTTGATTATTATCGGAATTGGAGGCTTGTTTGCGGATCATATCCCTACGTCTCCAAGTAGGTCAACATTTTCGTTAGAGAGGAGAAGTCTCGAGAGTGAGTTGTTGTGATTCTACGCACCTACTAGAAATATTTAATTTATTTTACCTCTCTTGTAATGTATTGAATAAGAAGTGCCAATATGTATGATCAAACTGAAAATGCCCCTCTTCCCACGCTTCGAAGTTTTCCGGAATATTAATTATTATGCAGTACGAAACAATGTGTAAGCGTTACACTTTCTTGATTGATCAGCATCGATATCAATCTGAGACTATGCGTAACAATGGAGTTCAGATCATTCATTGCCATGATCAGTCCGCTGTTTACTTTCACTTTTCGATTTAATCGAAGCTGGCTATGAAATAAGCACGAACGGGCTTCAGGGAAAATGATATCACTAGTCCGGGTCGTGTTAACGTAATAAAAAATAATGTATTGTGTCTAAACTGTGAAAAATGTTGCATTGTATAGATATAATTAGGTTTTTTGAAATATGTTTCTTAATTTGACTCACGATTGTCTTTCCAATTACCTAGTACCTACCAAGTAAATTATGACCAGGTATAGGTCTCGACGTGGGTGTGTTTCTAGGGAAAATCTGATAATCCAGGAAGTATCTTCGCATCCACTTGGAAAAATGTTCTTACTCGTTTTTTGCATAATTTTGTTTAAAAAGCACCTCGTTAAGAGAATATGTGTATGTATGCTGTCAGGTCTAAAATAGAGCCGAAATTGCTTGAAACTTTTTTTAGATAAACTCCAAAAATTGTTTTTTGGATTTGGACAAACGTTTCTTTAAAGTATATAGCTTTCGAGGTATAGTAATTTTAATATTTGAAAAAGGGAACAATGTGCTATTTTTCGCCCCGAAGGAACGAACACTTTGTTGTTTCCGATGTTCCTAAACATTCCTCGAATATCCGTTAATAACGACTCAAAGCATTTCAGGAGGATGTTATTGTAATCCTCTGTTTGAAGGTGGCGTCAATTCACGCGCGACTTAAATATCAGATGGGCAATAGAGGAGACTAAGACTAAACATCAGAGCGATGTCATATGATTAATTCCGACAGGATGGAAAACGTAACAACAAAGAAAATAATTTAATCAAATGAAGGGCTTGGGGCAGTAAGGGACCTAAGCCTCATTGGGTTTATTTTTAGAAAAAAGGCATTGTAAGTTTTGTGTAAATCCTGAAATCAGGTTTTTTGCCACAATCGGCTAGAACTGATGCAATACATTTCCAACTCAGGTAACTAGGATTTGGTGGCGACTAATTCGAAAAATTGTGACACATTTCCGTAGAAAAAATTTATTTTTGAAAATTTTGTGGCTCGTTGCCTTATTACAAAAAAAATAATGCATTCTGATGATAGCTTGAATCACTCATTTAGTCCAAATTCACTTCTTCATCATCGCCATCTATATCTTCAGCCTCTTCTTCTCCTTCCTTCGGCTGTTCACTGCCTGGCTCTGCTTTAATTGTATTTCCTACAATATCAACAAAAAACTGCTGACTAATCGGCGGGATATATTTTAGAAGCTTTTTCAGATCTTTGATCTTCTTGTCATTCAGTGCTAGAGGTCCATTGTATTTTCTTCTCAAATCTGTCAGGGTTCGTTGACTTCCCAGCCGAGATCCTCTTTTACCCACATTTACCTCAAGAAATTCTCCGTTAAGGGTATGTTTTATGAACATAGAATTGGGATGTTCACTGTCAAACTTGAAACAGCGCACTTCATTAAATTTGACGGCCTCCTTATCTACGGTAGATTGTTTTTTCGTAATAGAGATGGAATCAAATGCATAAAAGTCATGTTATTCCAATAAGACTGTGTCAAATGGGCTTTTTCTGTTGGATTTCTTAACGATATCCACCCAGTCTTCTGGACAGTATACCTGCTTGATGTACCTCTTATGCTTCTCAATGATGGCAAAGTCTCTATCTGAAGGCAAGTGAGTGTGGCCAGGAATAAGGAAACGGTGCTCTATGGACTTGAAGAATCCTTCGCGAACAAGTTGCAACCACAAAGACATGATTACCCAGTTTTTGTTCTGGCCTCCACAGTTATCAGTGAAAACTACCAAGTGCTCTTTAGTGGAAGATATACCTTGTAAGTATTTCAGCAGGATGCTTGCAATCTCTTCACTTCCCCTTTTTGCAGTAGTTTCTGCCCACAAAAACATGCTACCTTTGCCAGTGACACAATCGTGTATGCCGAGGTTGTACGTCCAAGCCTTTCGTAAATAGAAGGCAGGACCCACAGTTAGCGAAGGCGTGGGAAGAGTCTGCTGTAAATCAAATGATATTATACACGTGGAATTTTTCGCATTGTCTGATACCTCTTTTTTCAAGCTATCCTGCATGGCAAGTGCTCTCGTCTGATGAAGCTGCAGTTGTGTTTTAAATTCATTGAATTCCTCCAGGTTTTCTTTATTTGCTTCCATTTGATTATTAAGGAAGTCGCATGTATGACAAGTATCACTCTTGGGCAACTTAAATCCTATATTGTAATCAGAACAGAATATTCGTCTATACCGATCTTCTTTTACTGGTGCTATTCCACGTTCTTTGCACCACTCAACATAATAGTCCTTGTAGAGAGTAGATATGTTGAGGTCGTGGTTTAGAAAAACTCTATTTGGATTAACTTTCCGACTGTAATGGCTCACATATTTCGGAATGGCTTTAATATGGCCATGAACAGACTGAACTCTTTCTGCAGAAATTTTGTTGGGTCTGTTTTGATGTTTGCCCCTACCGTCCCTTTTTGGAGTTGTCCTGCCTTCAACAATTTGCTGAGCGATAAGTTTTAATCGCTTACTGGAGTTTTGAAGTCCATGGACCGATAAAAA